TAAAAGTCAAGTTGTATGCTATTAATGAGATCTAAAGAATGTGATTTCCACAAAGCAAGATACGTAAGTTAAAAGGCAACTAGAAATGTTGAGGGTTAATTCAGAGGGTTGAGAGGCAGGCAGAACTCAAAACTAGCTTCAGGAGCAAAGCAAGGAACACAATTGTCATGACAGACTGAGATAAAAGAATGCAGTCACCTGGGAAGACTCAATGAACAGAATCCGTAGCAAAAATCATAAAGTAAAAAGGTAAACAATTATGACCCAATAACCTAGATCAAAACTGTAATTCAGATTTACAGAGATAATTATGAATCCATTGAACATTTACTGTATTCCTAAGCAAAATATTTTGCATAAGGAACCCATTTTCTGTTTTATAATAATTAAAAGGTTTTCATCCCTAATTGATATGTGAGGAAACTCTGTACAGGGTTATCCTTTTAAGATTGTCTGTGGTCATTTTATATACTGTTAGAAATGGACATTTTACATTGATTTGATTCCACAAGTTCTGGATAATTAAAATGTATGTGTGGGCGGGGGAGGGGCAGCGTGCAAAGAAGAAGTAGAGTTGAGAGCTGCTATTTCCCACCAGAAGTAATGATTATGTGCATAAGGCCAAAATTTCCACAGACAAAAGACCGAAATCTGGAGCGTAAAGGAGCTCATTATACAACAGAAGAAAATAATGAAAAAAAACCTCATTTTCTGAAAATACTTTTCAACTTAATTGGAAAAGAGCCCCATATTGGGCAATAAATCTAAACTGCCCGTTCGCACCCAGTATCAGCATTATTTTATTTAAATAAGCGTGAATCTTAAAAAAGCAAAATTAATTCAAATACTGGATTCCCAACCAAAGTCACCTCGGCTATGCCAAAGAAGGGTTAATTCAAGATTGATGGCAAACCTGTTTACATGAACTTCACTGACCTCTCTCGCTCTCTTTTGGTATCTGGTATTTTCAGTCAACTAAGAATGCAGCAGCCCCTACTCACACGACCTCCTGTCCTATCAGCACACAGTCCAGCTTCTGGCGTCCACTCTGCTGTCCCTTTATCTCACTCTCTAACTTTATTTCTCTGTGGTGGAATTCTCTGACTTTGCTCATTATCCAAGCAGGCTTGATGGGTCTCAATCCACGTGTCCCTCATTATTGTGTTTCTGTACATTGAAAGCCTATGGCAATCCCAAAGTTCCCTTTAGTCCTTATGGTTCCTTCCCCACCCATCAGAGCTGGGAATGAGTGCATGCATACCTTGTGGGGTCAAAGGTCAAAGAATCCCTAGTCTACACTGGCAGGGATAGAAAGTAAAAGAAACAAGGGCTGGAGACATGGCCCACTGGAAAAGATCTTGCTACTAGTGTGAGGAACTGAGTTTGAATGACCTGAAACCCACGTAAAGCTAGGCAGAGTAGCTCCCATCTGTAACCCCAATGCTCCTATGGGGAGATGAGAGGTCCAGACAGAAGAAATCCCAGAAACATATGGGCCAGTACAACAAGGGACTCTGTCTCAAGGACCAGCATCTGAAGTTGTCCTCTGACCTTCATGTACACAGTGTGTGCCTGTACTAGTACACAGGAATATACATGCATACACATACATGCACACAGTTACACACATACATAATACATACAAATCACACACCCACTACACAAGAAAAATGAGTAAGAGTAGTGCTCCCCTAAAGTCATAAAAATATAGTGATAAACACACGTGACCATGCCTATGACCCCAGCACTTGGGAAGCTGGGGCAGGACCATCACCATGAGTCTGATGCCAAGTTCAAACTGTGTAATGGGCTATGCAGTGCATTCCAGCCTTACCCCCTTACAACAATGAAAAACTACAAGGCCTGCGTTACAAAGGAAACAATAACAGCAATCACACAGCTATAAACCTAAATATGTGAACAAATGAAATTCTGCTTCTAAAACAGAATTTCAAGACAAGGGGGTGAACAGAAGTGTCAGGACAGAAACAGTGTGTGACATGGTAAGCAGCGGTAGACTGTGCAGCATGCAGTTGTGACGTGGACATATAGCATGTATGCTATAAATTGAGTATATAGCATATTGTTGAGTGAGAGAAAGGAGTGCTGGCAAGGTTCTGCACACGTAACTGGGGCTGAATGTGTGACGAGTGTTACATGACTGCAGTGACAAGACAGGAAGAACGTGTCGTGTCTAGGCGTTTTCTGCAAGATGCACGTTTGAGAAGAGGTGAGGGGAAGACAGCTGGAAAGGAATTCAGGTAAAGACATTTCTCCAGCTGGCTTGGGTGAGGCAGACTGTAACACGGGAAAGAACACACAGAATGTGGAAGATCCTGGGGAGAACCCAGCAGCCCAGTCGTTTTCAAACTTTGGCCCATAGTCAACAGAGGGCTGGTTAAAACAAGGATCCACGAGCTATAGCCCAGAGCTTCTGGTGCAGCAGGATGAGGGGGGCCCGAGGATCTACATGGCTAACAGTTTTCAGGTTAAGGCGCCGGTGATGGCACTCGACCACACTCCAGCTCAGAAGAGACAGAGCAAGGGCACAGGTGACAAGTGCCGGCCTCACCCCAGAATGATGGGAGGATTGACATTGGGAGCATCTGTGAGGATTTTATGTTTGAATAAGAGAGGCCCTGAAAAACCAGGTAGAAGAAAGTGCCAGCAAAGCAAAATAAGAAAACAGGATGTCATCAGAACCTACCACATGCCAGCATTGCTTTTAGGCCTTTCAGCACGTATTAGCTCATTTAACAACTAATCAGAACTCCGCTGGGCAGAACAGTGCACTTGATACATCAATACATACATAGTGATAACAAGTTCCTGCCTCATGGATTCACCTTTACCTGTGGTCTTTGATCTAACACATGAAGCCATCAAATGAGGTGAGAAGGGCCCTTGACACTTAGAAAAAGTAGGAAAATATGAACTATTTCAGGAGGTGAATGGGAGAAGGAACTCACACAGACGTGGCATGCCTGGGATTGCTGGTGGCTCGGGGACCATTTTAAATCTCAGTTTGAGACCTTTGAGTGATAAGCTGCTTCACAGCTGACAGTCTCCTAAGTGACTTGCAGCAGGGACCAAGGTCAGCTGGGGACTGATTCAGGTTGAGCCCCAATCAGGAAGGATAAGCGGGAAGAAGGAAATGCAAAGTGCAATCTTTTCAGTCTAAAGTTTGATTACGGGTATGTGATATGGCTCAGTGGGTAAAGGTGCTTGTTGCCAAGCCTGAAGACCTGGGACTCACGTGGTAGAAGGAGAAATAACCTCTGCAAAGTGGCTTCTGGTGTCCATGTGCACACTGAGGCATGCTGACACAATAAAGACATGTAAGTTTAAAAATTAAGAAAATGAAATTTAGCTTAATACAGGGATTTGAGCTATACATTCTAAAATCCCTAAAGAAGGAAATAAAGACTTGGGAAATATGCCAGGATATAGGAAATAAATATGCCAGGATGAGGAAAAATATCTAAGGTGCTGCTTCTAATATCTATATAACTCAAGTTACACATTTTTTAAAATAAAGGAATGATTTTCTATCATATTTGATACATTTTAACTTTTGGGGGGGTAAAGGCTTAAATTTAGCTTTCTAGTTAAATCTGCTCTAGCATTTAATAAGGCTGAAGAGTGCTCTTACGTAGACAGGGATCTGGCATGAATTATCGGTGGTGTGTACGCCTGTGGTCCCTTCTGATCACTTCATGGTCAGCTACACTGTGAGGAATTGATTCCCAGATTAGCCAGTCAAATGGCTGGGGCTATAACCCTTCTCCACCTTGAGATAATTAGACTTAATCAGCAATTTTACAATAAATAATGGTTCTGTGAACTTGGGATAGTCCCAAAGAGTAAAATTTTGCATGATAAAATAGGTAAGGTGGTCATAGTGTTTGTGTGTGTACATACATTTATCTATAAGTATATATGACTTATACGCATATGTATGCATATATATATACATATATGGTCCTCAAAAGATGTTTATGGAGTGTTCAAAGGCTATAGCTACTATACAATTATTAAAAAATATTTTATTATTCTTATTTTACATGTATGAGTGTATTGTCTGCATGTATGTGTGTGCACCCACGTCATGCACTGCTGCGGAGGTCAGACGAGGGCTTTGGATTACTGTGGAACTGGAGTTAAGGACGATTCGTAGCCACCATATGGGTGCTGGGAATCAAACCTGGGTCCTCTGCAAGAGCAGTCAGTGCTCTTAACTGCTGAGCCATCTCCCCAGTCCCCAACTACTATTCAATTTAAAAAATATTTTATTTAGTAGTTTTTAAATTTTATGTGTATGAGTGTTTTGCTGGTATATAAGTGCACCCTTGTCATACAATGCCTGCAGAAGTCAGATCCTCTGAAATTGAAGTTATGGATAGTTGTTAGCTGCCAATTGTTACTGGGAGCCAAACCTAGGTCCTCTGTAAGAGGAGCTAGTGCTCTTAACCACTGAGCCAACTTTCCAGCTCCCACTTAAAAAATTATTCATTTTGTGTGTATGAGTGTTTTGTGTACATGTGTACCTATACCTACTATAACCTAGTCCATAGGGGAAGGAGAGAAGACTACCCTCATAATAAACCTATTCCCTAGAGCCCCTGCACTTTAGAATTATCCTTTTCATCCTAGGTAGGCTTCCATCACATTACATGGTTGTATTTTTTTGGGGGGTGGTGGTGTATTTTTTGTTTATTTGGATTTGATACAGGGTCTCACCAGATAGCCCAGGCTGGCCTGGAACTTACTGGAATGTGACCTGAACTGGCTCTGAACTCCTCATTCACTCGCCTTAGGCTCCCAAGCACTGTGCTTACAGCTGCACGCCGTCACCGCCTGCCTCATTTTGCTGATTTTAACCAGGCAAGATAGATGTAGATTCAATATATACATTGGGGGAAGAAGCATGAGGAATATTTTGCCATCCAAAATCCTAAAAGGAAATACGAAGACTGACTCCACTAAGGCAGCCCCTGTACCTGTGAGGGTGCTGGAGGTGACACCCCTGGCAGAGGGCGTCCGGGGCTGGGGGCTGTGCTGATCTTCAAGGTAGGCTTTCAGAATGTCCTTCTCCACCATGCCTTTAACCAAAGCAGGTTCATCCCAGGTCACCTCAATGCTGAATCCATTTAGACTGCGGACCCGTGAGGGGGTTGGCACACTTTGTGGAGCTGCAAAGACGCAGAGAAAAAGTCAGAAAGTGGCAGTTCTGAGGAGGCCGCTGCTCCTGTTCTTCACTTTTAATGGTGGCCATAAATCAGACTCAACCATTAGCATAAATACAATTTATTAGAGTTGTAACTTTCCAGCATTGATTTAATATGGCGACACATCTTGAGCCATACAGTTTAAGCGATATTTCAAAACCATCAAAACTCCATCGACATAACATTCTTTTAAGTCGAGTCCAGGTTTTCCAAAAACATTTAATGGATCTGACATGTTTAAGCATGTCATGTGAAGGAGGAGGTGTGCGGCAGATTCAGGTTCAAGCTCTGGAAGGACGTACCCACTTCTGAGCAGGATAATTAGACTGTTGCTACATATAGTGGATTGCCAGGTCATGCCTTCTGTGCTAGCCAAAACAAAACAAAACAAAACAACACCCCAAAACACACCCCACATGTGAATTGTGAGTTGATTATCTGTGGTACTTAAAAGGCCATTCCCATGTACCAAATTCAATTATTTTCAAAAAACAGAGTTCTGGCAGCTACGATATTTCAGACATGTTTTTAATGGTCTTTCGGGGTGGGGGGGTTAAGGGAGTCGGTGCCCTCGATAGTCTTCAGTATCAGTTTTAGAGACATTCTTTCAGAGCACCTCGAACAATGACACAAAAAGAGGGATTTGAAGGGAACACGGCGTCCCATGCTGAGCCCCTAATTTAAAAAATCTATAACCTTTAACTATTTCTTAGATATTTCTCCAGCTCTGATCAGTAACAGCTTCATCACAGCTGACTGCACTGGGGACACGAAAAAAGGAGCCCAAGGAACCGTGTGTCAGTATGACGGATGGACGGGTGCACTAACTGCTTCTGGGCTTCTGAGCCCCAGCGATGGACGAGGGTAGATCAGGCTGGTTTTCCACATCAAATAGCCTCCTCCCTGACTTTACTACTCAGACCAGTACAACAGGACAGTTTTAAAGGGAAGCCAAGTGAACATTCAGGATGAGAGGAGACATGAAGACCACTCTCAGTCTATTTAAAACACTACAGGCCCCTATGGAAAGCAGCAGTGCGATCGAGTTGCCAGGAAAGAGTCGAGAGGAGAGATACTGATTTTATTAACTCTGAAATGCAGGACAGGGCAAGGTACTGTCTAACAGATGGCCTTCCCATAAGGGACAGAGAAAAACTGACTCTAAAATAATTAAATAGTGCAATTATTCTCTAACCCTCGGGAGCATGTAACTGCTCAGGGTTGTGGTCAGATTGTAAATATGAATTTGTGGCACAGGACATGGTAGTCGGATCATGGCTGCTTTCAGAGTGCTGCTTGCTTGCTTTGTCAATGGTGCTCAAGTTGGGGCACTACATAAACAGGGCACTTTGAGCTACCTATTTAAACTGTACACACACACACACACACACACACACACACACACACACACCCCACAGCAGCCTTTGTAGCATACTTGCTAAGAAAGTAGTGGAATATGAAGCCGAGGAGGAAAGTGTCCGTCACAAATGAGTCTTTTATTCAGTTTCCTCCCTGATCAGATGTTAAGGAGAATTTTAAGAAAACATTCGTCTCACTGTCTCGTCTATAAGTAGATGACTATTTAAGTCACATTAGGAGAATATCCTGAAGTTCTCTCTAGAAAATCTGTTGGTAGAGAGCCTTGAAAATTAGTGACAGCAGCCCATTTCATATCCTTTAAGTAATTTTTTTTTTTTAAGAATTCCAGGGTAGTAACCCATTATTGCTAAGTCTAAGTGAACTCATGGTGACAGACACCTCTTCAGACAAATTGGTACTTGCTGGACAAATTGAGCTTAGAGTCACAGCAGCCACAGCCTGGAGGTGTGTTTGACTTTCTGACAGATATTTGACCCTGATGGGTGGAATGTGACTGACGTGTAAACTCTGATAAAAGGAGTCTCTGTGATGCTCTGATGGAAGAATTGCATTGTCACAGTCAGAAGCTCAATGCACATGATACGCGGGTGTCCCAGATTAGATCTAACCCTCTCCTCATTGTTTCTTTCCTAGTTTGAAATATTAGACTAATCTGCAATTTCTCTTCTGTGAGACTCACTCTAAGATCCCAAGTCACTACCATGACAGGCATCTTCAAGGATGTGATAAGAGATACTCCTGTTTCTAAGCTCAAGATTTGAATGTGCTCTCTCAGAGTCAAGAGGCACTAGCCCATCTGTGTTAGTCACTCTTCTTTGATAAAATACCATGATCAAAGCAACTTATATAAAGAAGGGTTTATTTGGGCTTATGGTTCCAGAGGGTTAAGAGTCCATCATGATTGGGAGGCAAGGCAGGAGGCAGCCAGAGCAGAAAGACGAGCACTCACATCTTCAAGCAGGCTCAGGAAGGACGGAGACAAATTAGAAGTTGTGGCAAGGCTATAAACTCTCAAAGTCTACCCCCAGTGACATGCTTCCTCCAGCAAGGCTGGACCTCCTGAAACTCCACAAACAGCTCCACTAACTGGGGCCAAAAGTTCAAATCCTTAGAGTCTCTGGAGGACAATTCAAATCAAACTACCACAGCATCTAATGGTACCCTGGCCTCTGACTTCTGCCTCTTGGGATGCAAACAGTCAACACAGGTTTCTCACCCTTGGATATATGATGGTAACTCATACTAAATCCTCAAGTTCCTCGGTTTCCTTTGCATATAAAGAGGAAAGAAGAGATCCTTAGCAAATCGTTTACTCGAGTCTTAAAAAATCTAAAGGAATGTAATTTTTCCATAGTCATTTTTAAACTAGCACATTTCTTCAGAGAAATAGGGTTTATGTGCACAACCAAGTGCTTATAGGTACCCAGGCATGTTTGAAGATTAGTAGACTTTACCTGCTCTTGTTGTATGGCCCCGACTCCAATCGCTGTACACCGAACCTCCATCATGTGAGGCTATCACTCGATACAGATATTCGTAAAGGATAAAAATAAGAAATAGAAAGGTTCTCACCATCTCCCTACAGTGGGCTGGCAGGGAGGGTAAAGGAGATGAAGGGCAGACACGTAGCAGTTCATTTGGAGACCTCCACTTTACCTGTAAAGGGCTGGAGACCACTCTCATAAACACTTGGCTCGCTTCCCTGATAAACCAGGATGGAGTCATTTCCCCTGCAGTTAACAGTCCTGTCACTTGATAGGCAACCATCCAGATTGACTCTGACAGCACGGCTGGACACAGATGCCAAGTTAACGACAGTACTCTGTGTAAATGTAACTTCCTTCACACAGCCTCCGAATCCTAGCAAACAGACAGGGATTAGTGTCACCGGAAGGGCTTGGGTCACTAATGACTGGCCATCTTCGGCCTCTGCAGCTCTTCCCTTTTGCTTAGAGATAATTACTAAACTTTCAGTTCTTGTTTGAGAGAACTTTATACCATTTCTGGATTTTTCATCTGACTAAATGTTTGCAAGGAAATATTTAAAGATGTTGTTTTGAAAACCTGTACATAATTACAATCCCATTTTGATTTTGAAAAATATTTTTTTTAAAAAACCTCTAGAGGCACACATTTTCTAAATACTTCTTTGAATCATAAAGTAAAATGTAGACTATCACATGGACAATCAAAGATGGGAAATTACGTTATTCTCGACTCAGTGATTGTTATTTGTTTCTTTGCTTTTGGATGGTGTGGGAGATTGAACCCAGGGCCTCACATGCTAGGCAAGTGTGCTGCCACGGGTCTATGTAGCCTAAATCAGTGTTTGTTAAGGGCTTAAAATGAACCCTTGAATACCCATAATTATGCAACAAGTTCACTGGGATAAGACACACTATTGATGAGCTTATGCAGAATAGAGAAAATAGTGCTTCTCCAACAGAATCCTCAGACACTGTATAACAATAATCCCTACCGTTATTTATTATTGTATAATAATCATTTTAAGCCAATGGAGTCCTGGTTAAATCGACAGAGAAAACAGACGCTGATGTTTTCTGACATTTCCTTCTGTTTCTTCATCTCAAACACATACGACTTGAATGTACTCCTTGAAGCACATGAGATACCAGGTTTACATTCACATCAGCACAGCAGGATCCAGCACTCAGCTTTGACAAGAATAACCTCAGAAACCTCACAGAATGTGTGTTCTACACACTGTGCTCCAAACGTTTGTCTTGCCAACACCTTTCTGTGACAATTACCAGAGGATGTAGACAAATGAATTTGGACTTCTTGCTGAGTTTTTGCTGGAGAGCAAACAAAAACAGTTACCTCGTCAACCAAGGGATGGCGCTTGCTTTGAATGGCTTGCCATTTCGTGTTGATGGAAGTCAGTTCCATGAAGTTTGAGGATAAGACTGTGCCCAGAAATCTGTACCAAATTAGGATGAACAGGACCACAGGACTGAGGCTGGGTTGTCTTAGTTCTTGTTCTCTCTCTCTCTCTCTCTCTCTCTCTCTCTCTCTCCCTCCCTCCCTCCCTCCCTCCCTCTCTCCTTCTCCCTCTCTCTCCCTCTCCTGTGCAAAGCACCATCAAATTTGAAAGGCTTCAAATACATGGTTAGTGCTTTTCAAGATTAAAATGACCAAATCATTCTCTCCAGTCCTGAGATGGAGTCTTATTATTTCTTCTCACATGTTAAGCTGCATTCAACTTCCTCTTAAATGCCTTTTGCTATTACTCACATTCCTTCCGGCCTGACTGATCAATACTGCTGGTCTCTCTTCAATTCCTGGTAGACATGAAACATGACTTGGAAGCAGTGAAGCCCAGTATAAAGGCACTTGCTGGAAAATTCAGAACTAAAGAATTCACAGTGTTTGGCCATGGTCATTTTTGGATGACACATAGATGGGTCCTCTCAGTTCCCTGCACCCAGTTTTCCCTCCCCAGAGGGGAATTCAGAAGGAAGGCAGCTTTGGCAAACATGTCACTGCTGTTCTAAGAAATGACACAGTGGGGGTAGGGTTGTTGAGATGAAGAGTACTGCAGATGACAAGATGATGGATATACTGCGATGTGTGTGTACATAGTGCCACCGAATGGTACACTTAAGAAGAGTGACAAGGAGTCTGGGGTGAGGATTCAGGCCAGCGGACTGCTCACCTTGCAAGCCCGAGGGCCTTAGTCCAATCTCCAGAAACCACGTTTGTAACCCCAGTGCTGGGGAAGTACAATTGGATGATCCCTGGGGACTGCTGGCCAGTCAGTGCAGCCTAATCCAGAGGCTCAGGCCTGAGAGAGGCCCTGCCCCCAACTAAACATACACAACAAAGCCTCCAAATCCCACAGTAGACAGTACCTGATGAACAACAGCTGAGGCTCACCCTGGTCTCCATATGCACAGGCACACATATTCCCATGCACACATGCACGTGCACCCCCCATGCCCCTCCCCCAAACTAGTTCCAAAGGTAAGTTTTAGGTTCTTTGCACTTAACTGCAATGTTCAAAAGCTAAACCTCTAACCAGGACCAAGTACCATGAAAATGAGCTCACTACGTGGAATTTGAGTGTTGGGAAAAGCCACAGATAGCATGTTAATCTTCATTTTTCATATAGAGGAGGTCTGGAGAGTGATGAAATGGATTGGCATGCACCCACTACCCTAAGCAGAGGACCCGGGCCCTGGCACACAGGAGAAGCTGCCGAGCTCTCCCTCAGGGTCCCTGCTCTGGTTTCCTTCAGTGGGAACAGAGGTTCCTGGAGAGTAAGGATTCCATCATCATTTAACTGTGGGCCACCAAGCAGTTCCTAACTCACTTCAAAGCTGAATGAAGTATGTGAACAAAAAGCCAGGAAAGGACCTGCTTGTGACAGGAATGAAGACTTTTTCCCCCACTGCCGTCATGCAGAGTAAAATAGACTTTTCCCTCTCGTTTCCTCAATGCCCAAAGTCCTGAAAATCTTAAAGGTGACCTAAGGGTCACTGTTGACCAATCAGCCCGCAGTGATATGACAGGCAGGCTAGACTCCAGACTCCTCCTTCCCTGTCTTCTGGGGTCCTTGGGCAGAGCATAGCCTGTGATTCTATATGTGAGGGGTCAGTCAGGGCCCCACTGGACATGTGTGCTTGTCCTAAGCAGACAAACTCCCTTGTTCCATAAGGCCGTACACCTTTAGAAAATTATGTTGCCCAGCCTTTCCAAAACAAATAGGAAAATTAATTTTAGATTTGATTCACAGGGCAATTACATTCAAAGGGCTAAGAAGAAACAGTAAGAATCGACCCACAAAACAGCGTCTTGGTTCTAGTTAATAAGCCAAGATAAGCAAAGAAAGAGCCAGATGTGGTGATCTACACCTTTGATCCCAGAACTTGGGAGGCAGAGGCAGGCCGATCTCTGTGAGTTCAAGGCCAGCCTGGTCTACATAGTGAGTTCAGACCGGCTGGGGCTTCAGGGAGACCCTGTCTCAAAAAAAATACAAATAAAATAAAATAAAATAAAATAAAATAAAAGAAAATCAGCAGCAAAGAAAGGCAAGCAAAGAAAATTGGGCCTGCTGAGACTGGGAAATCCATTAAGGAAGCATGATTCATTTTATTTACTGTCCACTGCCTGGGGGCTGTGCCTCTGTGCTGTGAAGAACTCCCAGATACACAGACATCCAGTTGCTTAAGCAGATCAGTGTGTCTCAAATCATCTAAGTCAGAATCTTATAGGACGGTGGGAAAGTACTCACATAATCTCTATATTTTTAAATTATTTTTATTTTATCTGTATGCATGTATTGCCTGCATGTAAATGCACCCATGTCATGTAATGCCCACGGAGGTCAGAAGAGGGCATTGGATCCCTTGGAACTGGAGTTACAGACAGTTGTTAGCTGCCATGTGGGTGCTGGGAATTGAACCTTGGACCTCTGCAGGAACAGCCAGTACTTGAAGCCGCTGAGCCTTCTCTCCAGCCCCAGAATCTGTATTTTTAACAACCTTTTCACCCAGTGTCAGAGCATCTTGATGCTGATTATAATGTAAGTTACTTTGATTTTCTTACTACTACGTTTCAAACTTCTATGCTTTAATATTTTATCAGTGGTTCTAAACTTGTATCACAGATGAAATGGAAATAATAAAAATTTAGTCTATCCATTAACATCTGTCAATACCACAGACTGAAATCTAATGTGGGTAAAATTGTTCCCCTTGTATCTATGTTTATGTTTTAAATTTCTTTCAGCATCATCTCACAATTCTATATCTCCAGAACCATCTATAGTTACAAGATTAGGTAAATTCAAATGCCTAAGCCTGGATGGGCAGGCCGTTTTGTTAACCAAACCCCAGGTGCAGACAGGATCAAATATTCTCACTCACACAGAATTTTCAAGTTCTTGCCCATCTCAGAGTCTGAAAATGTGGAGAAACTCTAATATAAACGTAATTTTTTAGCGGCTGCTACTTCGTAAGTGCTTTGAAAATGTCATTACTGTCTTAGGCCCCAGTTATTCATTAACTCCTTACTCTGACTCTGCTCAAAGTCTCCGTAGAACACGTCATATATTTTCCATCCAAAGGCATTTAAATCTTTATGGACTAACCAAATAGGCAAAGACTGCTTCATGGAAAATTTAACCATTCATGGTACATGGATTTTAAAATGTACACAGCACGTTTTCTGCATGAGCGTGTGTTTGGTCAAAGTCTGTACTTTCTGTGCTTTCTGGGTGGCGCGCTGGCAAATGGTCACAAGGATCCTTCGATGTGGTAAGGAGAGCGACTGTGGGACCCAGTCATCAAAGGCAAACTTCTTGTCCTGCATCTGCTCACCAATCATGTAATCATGGGCAAATAACTCTATTTTTCATTCCCTCATCTGTCAGATGGGGTCATGGTAACAATGCCGAGCTCCTTAGACTTCCGATGCAAAACCTCTTCTTCCTGTTACTTGAAATGTCAGAAACAGGCCTGCACTACACGCCACCTGCACATGTTAGTTTTCCTTTTGATTTTGAGTGAGGTTCTTCCCATGTAGCCCATGTGGGCTTCCAACTTGTCATCCTCCTCCCTCAGTCTCTCTAGTGCCAGCATGACCATCTACATTTTGCCCTCCCTCCTTCCCTCCCTCCCTCCCTCTCTTCCTTCCTTTCTTCCCAGGGTCTCCTTATAGTCCAACCTGGCCTCAGTCTCACAGAGATCCACCTGCCTCTGCCTCCCAAGTGCTGAGATTAAAGGTGCACGCAATAATGGCTAGCAATACTTTTTCAATTAATAATTTCTCTAATGAAACTGAAACTTAGGTGAGTTAAATGCTTGATTTAGTTATGGGTTTTACTCCTTTCCTTCCTCTGATGATTTTTTAAAAAATTTTATTTATTATTTTTATTTTATGTATATGCGTGTATTGCCTGCATGTAGGTAAGTGCACCTGTGTCGTTCAATGCCCAAGGAGGACAGAAGAGGCTGTCAGAACCTAGCTGCCATGTGGGTGCTGGGATTCAAACTCAGGTCTTCTGCAAGAACAACCAGTGTTCTTAACTGCTGAGCCATCTCTCCAGCCCCTCTCTGATGATTCAAAGCTGTCTACATTTTTCACAAGTATGTTTGAGATTCAACTAAATTTCATGCAATTTTTCTGCACAAAATCTCTACTGAAAAAGTTCAGCACTAATTGGTTTTGATGTCAGAGGTTAAAAAGATGAAAATTTTAAACATTTAAAAAAATTTTAAAAATATTTAAAAATAAAAAATTTTAAATTAAA